TAAATGGCTAAGCGTGTAATTACGTCCATTTATACGCGCCGCTTATCAATAAATCTACTCGTCAGTATAGTCAATAGAAAGCATCAAGACTTTTAGAACTTGGGAGTCTAAATTGCCAAAAGGAGGAGCATAAATTCGACCGATAGTGAGCAATACGGAGACCATATTTATTGGCCAGGTTTCGAAAGAACCGCTCGGCGCGAAATGTAGCCACGGACCTTAAACCTTCACCTTATAGTCGACATTAAGCTATCAAGATGTACATTCGACCCAATCAGAGTGCTTTTAATTACCGACCTAGGGAAGCATCATTCGACAAGAACCCACGACCCGTTATGCTGTAAATTCGAAACTTTGATTTGAATGCGGTACTAGTCGGTCTGGTCGACTCTTGAGGGCCGCGGCTATGGAGGGAGAACACGTTATGATCAACTTTAGGCTCAACAAATCAAACATACCAGTTCTAAGTTTATTGGAGTGCTTTTAATTGCCGACCTAAAGTGGTTATTTAATGCAGAAGAAACCGTGATCCGTTATGCTACAAAGTAGATCCAAAACCGAGTCGCGTCCGGTACTGCCCGACCCGGGGTAGAGGGCCGCGACCGAAGGGAAGACTTGTTATGGTCAACTTTGCACCCTTCGACTCGAACTAACTACACTTTTAAAGTGATGGAAGAGCTCACAGCTAGGTACCCAAAGAGTAATTCGATGCATGAAGTAACGCGATCTACTCCGCTGCAAAGTATATCCGAAAGTTCGAGTCGTGTACGGTACCGTCCGGCTCGGGGTAGAGGGCCGCGACCGAAGGGAAGACTTGTTATGGTCAATTTTGCACCCTTTGAATCGAACTAACTACACTTTTAAAGTAATGGAAGAGCTCACAGCTAGGTACCCAAAGAGTAATTCGATGCATGAAGTAACGCGATCTACTCCGCTGCAAAGTATATCCGAAAGTTCGAGTCGTGTACGGTACCGTCCGGCCCGGGGTAGAGGGCCTCGGCCGGAGGGAAAACGGCCATGCTCACCGAGCTCAGAGTGGTCGGTGTACCCGAGTTCCGCGAGAGACTCGAACGCGTGACCGGCTTCTGCGTAAGTTTGCGCGTCCTCTTGACCCGAAGCAAGTATCAGGAATGCCTAATGCCCCGTTACGCCGATAAAGCCGCCGTCCCGGAATGTCGCGCGCCACGAAACGAGTTCAAGGCGAGCGCGTGCTCGATTTCGTGGTCAACCTGCTATTCGTTGGTCCGCTACTTATGTGGCGGACCTATAAATATCGGCGCATGGTATTTCCTTCCTTGCCCTTTGCCCTTGCGACTTTCGCTCTACCTCGTTGGCTTCTCTTCGAGGTTTCGTCCTCGCTTCCCAGAGCGCAACGCCGCCGCGGTGCAGACCGACAAATTCAGGATTGAAAATGACATCTGTAAGTTACACTATGAAGTTGGTGATTTTATACTTCATAAACGGGAGCGGGAACAATTGCGGTAAGTCAAATAGGGCCGCGACGGAGAAAGTAGAAACTATGCCACCGGTTGACCGGGTTATATCGGTTTATAAGTTCCGCGACCCAGCTGCATCTAACGCTACGATGTCGGAGGCACTTCGATATCGAGACCCGGAGTATTGTTCATACTTTGGGGTATACGCCGAAGTATCGAAACTGACAATAAGTAGAGCAGGTATTAGGGCAACCGCTGTAGTCCAACTTCGATCGCGCACTATTCCCTGTTACCTCGAGAATTTACACTTTGTTTATAACAAGTACCTCGTTATTCTTGTCCACCCCGATAATTTTATTACGAGCACTTCCGCCCAAATGACGATGCTCATCAACAAGAAATTTGCAACAAAGTACAACTATCTCAAGGACGCTCTCACATTATCAGGTCCTCGTCAAATGAAAGCACTAATTCGTAAGACGAGGCGTACCTTAAATCTTCGGCAGGGGAATCGTGAAGATCTAAGGAATGTCATGACATTTTCAAAATTAAAATTTAAAGAAAAACATTGATTCGTTTAGCCTAGACTAGAACTATGCTCTCAGTATTTAGTAGAACGCCCCTTGTCATCCATCACAGCCCGAACAGTTTCGGCAAGCTTAGGAATGATTCCTTATCATCATCTTTGAATTCTTGGCCACGATGCCTAACTTTAATCAATATCGCAGTCAATCTTGGGTCGTTTGTAGTATTTCCCTCGGAGATTCCTGTTTCGAGGGGTTCCCACGCCCGCTCGGTGGAATCGACTACAGGCATTGCCGTCGAAGAGAAACGCAACGACAGGATTGCCAGCGTTAAAACGAAAATATTTGCGGAGGAAGAAGACAAATTCGCGGGGGCAATAATGAGAGTCGAATCTCAAATAACGAGAGAAGCTCCGGCGTGAGCAATAAATTGCCCACCTAGGGTAAACATTTTGTTAACGGCGTCATTGCTCGGCCTTTCGCCCCGAGGAGCGGCCATTTCCCGCCCTATCTCGTCGTTCCTCCTCCGTGTCTTATTCCCGGCGTGTAGCTAAGATACCCCGAGTCGGTAACGAGGTTACGGCGCGTGCCGTAAAATTGGACGATAGCGAGGAAACGCCGAAGATGCATCGGCGCCGGTGGGTTTCGCCGGCGCGTATAACGGGCCGCGCGTGCGGCTTAACGGCGTCGCCTCGCGGATGGGCGTGCACCATTGTTCGACCGAAAGAGGACCCGTGTTTAAGCCTATCCGCCGATCGGCGTCTTTATTAGCGTGTATACGCGCAACAAAGCGGATACCACCCAATTAGCGGGCGAACGACGCGACGCAACGCGGATCGCCCTCGTAAATCGACGGCCGCGCGACGCCCCTTCGCGAAAATCCCGCGAAAATCCCGGGAAATTCCGTTCGATGGACGCCAGATCGCGACTGCGATTCGCCCCTGATGGAGGGACATATTCAGGGGACCGTTACCTGGGGCCGCCCGGCACCGGCGCGACGCCTGGGTCGCCGTGTTCACACGTGCGTCCCCGGCCCCGACGCTCCTCGCCGTTCGCCGGCAGCCGAGCGCCACCTAAATCACTGCTAACTGATATAGATAAAGGCATTCCTGGATCAGGGATTGTGCGATCAAGTGCCACTTCTCTCATTCCACCGAGCTCATTCTTGCCGAGTCGCAGGTCCTGACACGGACGGCTTCGGGTCGTTCCAAAAGTTCCGTCATTTGCTGGCAGAATTCCTTTCCGAATGGCGAAAAATCTTCAAAAACGATTACGTAAAAGAGTGTCCTGAATTTTGACGGGAGAAATATAGTGCCTTTTGGGATTAATAGAAAAAGGGAAACTATACGTCTTATTAACCTCAAACTTTCTGGGTGTATTTAACCTTGTTTGAAGATCACACGGGTTTTCTTCTTTGGAATAAAAATATTGAACCGCTCCATAGTTATTTTTTTATTCGAAAATTTCGAATTTTGCATGATTTATAAAGATTCTAGCTCCAGGAAGTTAAACGTTCAGTAAATTTAACTGAATAATTGCAATTGGGTCCGACGATTAGTTTCGGGCATGTTACAGTTACCATTGAGAAAATGCTGTTCCAAAAAAAAAAATACATTAAAAAATGTATGTATACTTTTCTTCTACATCAAATATAATTTAAAAAACTTCCTGCTAATCAGCTATTCCAGGGCCCGTTAAAGACCTATTTCCTTTTTTTTTTTTTCATAATTCATCATTTTCACCCTGAAATAACTTAATATGTAACGAAAGTTACTTAAAAGATACACTTACATTATATATTACCGAACTGTTATCATTCCGTAATGTTACAAATCTGACAGTATTGCAGTCATATATTATTAACATAACACATAATGTGTTACATGAAATGTTACGCGTATGATACATTATTCGTTTTATAACAATATAAATGCGTAAAAAATATTAACGTAATGTTTAAGTACACGTAACATATATGTTGCATTAAATGTTACAAAGGAATTTGTAACGGTTACATCGTTGTCGCGAATCCGTGTTCGGTGGTTAACGAATGATCAAAAGAATAGAGAATTTGGAGGCATAAAAGACGTTGAAGAAATGTCACGCGTATGATCCATTATTCGTTTTATAACAATATAAATGCATACAAAATATTAACGTAACGTTTAAATATACATAACATATATGTTGCATTAAATGTTACAAAGAAATTTGTAACGGTTACATCGTTGTCGCGAATCCGTGTTCGGTGGTTAACGAACGATCAAAAGAATAGAAAATTTCGAGGTTCAGCCGAGATCCATAATTTCACGGCGAGTTCCCTTAACCCTTTGCGGCACGGAATTTTAGATAATAAAAAGACCCTTGTTGCACTGAAACTTTATCTTCTTTTTAAATTGAACAAAGTTGGTTTATTTTTATTAATAAAGGAATAACTAATATAAAAACAGAAAAAATCATAATAATAATCCAATTAAGTTTGTTGTTATAGGGTGGAACTCAAATAGTCCCACATATTGCATATTCACGAATTAAAAAGGTGGGACACTATTAATACCACCGTGCCTCAAAGAGTCAAAGGACGCCGAAGAGGTGCATCCGAGTGCCCTTAGAGCGAGCCCCACCTATCAGGTGGCCGAATCCGTTTAACGGGTCGCGTGCCGATCCATTTCGAGGCGAATTATGCGATTAGCGGAGCAGGGCCGCTCTCGATCTTGACTGGAACGAAAGCGGATTTTTCGGTAGGGCAGAAAAGGGAAAAGAAGCGACTCGGAGCGCTCGAGAGGAGGGGGAGAAGGAAGAGCTCCTTTCGCGGTGGAAGTGGAAGAGAGGGAGTCGAAAAAGGCCGTTTTCAAAGGTGGCCTTCCGCGAGCCGCACGTACCGTTTCTGTCCTCCTTAAGCCTCCGCCTTCTCTTCGGCTTAGACGACGAGCTCCGCTGCTCGTGGAATAGTCACGGCCAGGTGTATGGTGGCCGATCACCGTTACCGGCGGAGTCACCATTGCGCGCTCGGCACAGTGATTTCCAAGCGGGTGGAACGAACGCGCGTGCTCGTCCCGCAGCCTTCGCGAGTTCTTCGACTCCCTCGTAGTTCGTTCCGTGAGTTATACATTATTACTAATATTTATTTCGCCAGGGGTGGAGGGATTTGTCGACAGGTGCGGTCGGGTGGCGCGACAGGTGAGGTCGCGAGCCGGAAATCCGGACTCCTCGGGAATACGAAATTCCCGAAGAGAGATTTTTCTCGAGCTTACGGTATTTCCGCGCGAAACCGAACATATCGCGTTCAATTGTTTTATAAATTAACGATTATTTCAATGTGCGGCTTAAGTTAGAATGCGTAGAGAAATTGTGGAGAATGCGAGCGCATTTTAGAAATTTACTTCGACGTTATGAGTTTCTTGATTCACCCGATTGGTTAACAAGGGAGACGGAGATTTAAAATTTCAATTGCTTTTAGACATTGTTGGAATATATCGAGAGGGTACTAACGTGAATTTGGTTCGTGCGAACGGTTCTGGTGGTCGGTAAATAGAAACAAATGTACTGATCGTGCTAATCTCTTGGAATGTCACCGAACTAAATGTTCTTTTTCCGAAACTTAGCGTCGGTCGCGCTGCCACCGGTCTTCGCGAATTCTTCGACTCCTTCATCTTCCTTTCCGTGAGTCATACATTTATTAATATTCACTTCGCCCGTGTTGGAAGAATTTGTCGGCAGGTGCGGTCGTGCGGAGCGTGACAGGTGAGGTCGCGAATCGGAAACCGAGGTTCTTTAAAATATGCAATATCCGCGAAGAAAGATTTCGTTCCTTTTTCGTAGTTTTGCGCGGCGGGGAGAGTACTAAACTCGATGGTGATTTTAAAATGAAAAGTAACTCGATTTGAAATTAACGATACGTCATTATTTTTTCGGATGATACGATCGAGATTCACCCGATTAGGGTACACGCGAGACAGAAGTTTCGTATTTGAATTCTTTTATATCCGATATTTTAAATATCGTTGGAATAGGTTGAAAGGTACTAAAGTGAATGCGAGACAAAAGTACCAAACCGATGCCGAACGATTCCGATGAAGCCGTTGTATAGGAGGAAAACATTTTAATCGTGTAAATCTCTCGAATCGTCACTTCAGCAACTATTCCTTTTTTGAAACTCAGCAGAGCGCGAAGGATAAAACACGAAGGAACGGTTACTCGAGAGGATGACAAGAAAATGAGAGAAAAACATAAACTAATAATCCGTATACGCGTTCGATACGAATGCCGTCGAAAAAAAAAAACATATTTCCGACCCAGAAGGATGAGACGGATAATTCTATTACGTCTGTCAGAACGATACGAGCCGTCTATTAGCAAATCGATGGCCCCCCAGAAAACAAAAAGAGAACTGATAGACACAAAAAGTGAAGCATCGATCGCGCGTTTTGCTACTTAAATGACATAAAATTAAGCGATCCGTTGCGAGTACAGCCGTAACCAGGGTCATCCTCGACTAAAATAATTTCCTTCCATAACCTGTACCGAAGACAGCCGCACTTAAATGACTAAATCATGTTCCCAAAGTTGCAACCAAAGCGCGATATTTCCTTTGTTGAAATATCTCTGGGCAGGGTCGAGAGGGAATTCCCTCCTAAAAATAGTTACAATTGTCCTACCGTGCCACCTCTTAAAGTGTCAGAAAAAAATCCTTTCCGGCCCGAAAGATTTAGTCCTCGAGAGCTCCATCCAAGACACCGAATTATGCGATTCCCTCCAGACACGTTGAGCCTCGAAGCGCTCTTCATTAGACGGAACACGCTTCCACCAGCTCCCGGCTCCCAAACGATTAGTCTCCGCTCGCGAGCGTCCGATTGCTGCATTCCGCGTGTACTCATGCGAGAACCCGACTTTCTTGTTCGCAGATAAAGGAGGTAACGAAGCGGCCTTAGGATGATTAATCCCCAGTGTCGGATCCTGACGAGGACGCTACTCCTGCTCCTCGCGTCGACGCTCGCCGTCCACGGGGCCGAGCCGTCCGCGTTGTCCCCGGCCTCCGAGCCGTCCGGCGTTTCCGGCCCGGATTACACGGGCCCGTCGGCCGGCTCGGACGAGTGCGATCCAGAAATGGTGGGCTTCGAGCTCATCACCGGATACGTTTACACCGCGCCCACGAACATGCTCGAATCCATCCCGGGCACCCTCATGCTCACCGACTGTCTGGAAACCTGTCAGGCCAACGACTCCTGCCAGGCGGTCAACTACGAGACCGGCCTCTGCGTGCTCTTCAGCTCCAACGCCGACAATAATCCAGGTAAGACCGTGATCGATTACTGCGCCCGTTTCTACTTCCACGGCAAGGCTACAAATTTTACCCCAGCCGCCGAACCCACACCGGAAGAGAATCCCCTGCACGTGCATTCGGGTGCGAGCGGTAATTGCCGGTTATTAGGCGCGTTGAATTTTCAGGGATTAAGAGACGGTCTACGGGAAAGCTGAAATTGGTGTCGTGAGCAGGGTTAGGAGGAGTGTCGGATGCTTTCCTCACGATTCGTGGGTGTAATAATAGCCTTCGTTGGAACCTGATGTCGGTGGCCAATTTATAGGAAGGTCAATGTTAGCAATTCCGTCTTTGTTTTTCTCCGATGGAGATACCAACGGTTGATCTCATCGAGAATTCTTGGGGATGTCTTAAGAAAATACTATGGATAGGAGGAAATTAAGCGAAGAATTAATAAATGTTGGGTATGGTGATCAAGATATGAAAGATTATGCAAAAGTGCACCTGGTGCTTTCCGGAAAGAATTTAGGCTTTGATCGTTCCCAAATAGGGTTCTGGAAACATTTTATGGAATTGCTTGAAGTCTGACGTTTCATGAACAATATGTGACTTTTTATAATTACGTTGAAATACCTATTTTGTTTAACAAACGTAAATAATGTATGCATTCACTTTCCAATTGAAAAATTATTTTGCAATCATTCAAATTTAACATGCGTAATTAATAATTTGGCCACCGATTATAAATAGTTCTTCGATGAACATGGGAAGTTGAATTGAACACCGAGGGCTGTTGAAATGAGAGAAAAGAAAGTTCTCAGAGGTTTTGGGGTTGTGACTTTTGTCCTCGTTTGGGTAGAAAAGTGTTACTTCCGTTATAAGTTGGGGTCGAGGGGAGTCTTTTACTGCTGCTCTTTTAATCCCGGTATAAATGCTGAAGTTCCAAAACGAATTTTCATAATTAAGAATTTCTTTTTTTGTTTCATCGAAGTGAGAGTACACGGGTGTAGGAGTACGCGTAATCGTAGTTTCATTGACTTAAATAAGCATTAGAATATTTTACTGGAATAAACGTTAATTTTCGAGTTACCTCTGTCTCTACGTTATAAATTTCAATTTTTATTTATTACATCCTCTTTCATGTAAAACGAGCAAAATTCAGAAATTTGTTAAATTCTGTAATACACGAAAGTCGTGTAATCTATTTCTGCAGAAACATTTCCGAATACGAAGAGAGCTTCAGAGCGATGAAAAACGATCTCCCCTTGAAGATGAATTAAACCCCTGCCTTTAATGAGCTATCTCAATAATGACTATAATTACATAATTTTCTTGTTATTACATGAATATGGTCATCGTTATAATCAACACCGCTTACGCTTGCAAGTATTAAACGCACCGGAGATTATTATTCTCTAATTTTCCTAGCGGTTAGCCATTCTTCAGACAAACTATAATATTGAACAAAAATGTAATCAACGTTCGATAATTCTCGTAATTGACAAATTACAGGACAATTTTCATAGACAGTAGTAAAAATATACCTGCGATTAGGTACAGTTAATCAATCGGTATGTAAACCAAATATTTGTAATTGGTTTAATTAGAAGAAGCAGTGAAATTGTATCTTCAAAATCGAAATTGTAATAAAAACAAATACTTCGGAGAAAAACATTTGTCTCGGTTAAATAAAAATGACTTGTATCGAGCACAAAGCTTGTTAACGTGCAAATTAAACACGCAGTCAGTCGCGAATAAACCGTTCATTTATGTAAATAGCATTATTAATTTGCATAAAGTTCTTATTTCGACGAAACGAAAGCCGCAGATATTTATCCTCGGCCATCAAGACGCGCATTTGAATCGAATAACACTAATTCAGCTTCATTAAACTTACAAAGCTACAATTAATTCTTCAAGACATCTTAAATCATTGTTTCTAGTAGTAAATCATTATTTGTTTCAGCGCAATACTTAGTTAATGATAAAAAAAGGAACTAAATTAAACAGAAAAATTTGAAGAATCTTGTTAAATTTTCCATATTACAATTTCCTTCTCAGAAGAAAGCATCTCTGCTGTAATCATTTGCACAATGTCGAGATAGCCGTCATCGGTAAAGAGCGAGTAAAATGGATTTTCGAAACGTCCAAATTAGTCTACAGAGAGTACCGCGGAACATAGGAGATATCCTCCCAATATTTAAATGTTCGAAATTGAAAGCAGACGATACGAGCACGTACTATGAACATTCAATATTGTCTTGAAGCAACTTTTTACAGTCCGTTTGATGAAGTTCGGTGCGTTTCCGATAACACCGGGCTGAAGGGGTTGGAGGGCAAAGAGAAAAATGGAGGTCGGAAGGGAATTTTTTTGGAATTTCGCAAATTCCCCCTTTGAGCAGCTTCGCCGCGCGCAATGAGGCTTTTTCGACGACTCTCAATGCGTAGGCTCTATTTTCCCTTCGGCGAAATCAACGCGCCTGTGAAGTCTCTCTAGAGCTCTCTCTCTCTTTCTCTCTCTTTCTCTCTCGAGGGCGTGATTTTTGACGGATCTCCGGGGTAGCCGAGTGCACAACCCCGGGGTTGCTGGCGTATCCTCGTCGATACATCCCTCGGGGTCGCGCCGGAGGGCCCATTTAAATTTCTACGATGCACCTCCTGGCTACGGAAGTTGATTTTTTTCTTTTTTTTTTTTCGTGAAAGATACCCACTTCCGCAGCTCGGAGTGGAGCCCCGTCGACGAGGGAACGATCCCTGGCAGGGTCGATCCATTTTGGGGTAGGTCGCGGTAGGACGTGCATTTACTTTGCGGTAGGTCGCGGTAGGGCGCGCAGGAAGTGGGGCGAGTGTAAGGGGTGTCGATTTGCTTAGGAGCAGCGTACTCCCCGTGTAGAACGGTTTCGCAACCCCTCACTTTGCCCGGGATGAGAGGGCTCCTACGTTTGGTAATTTCCGGCGAGTCTGGAAAATCTTCCCAAAATGAAATTTCAGTCTCAGCGAGCGCGCTATTGGTCCTACCTCGGTATTTAAGTTCTACTGTTAACATTCTGCTCAATGATCTGCCATCTCAATAATCTTCAATCAAATATGAGACCTACTTTAGATCTTCGGGATTTTCACGTCAAAATTAATCGTCTTTAGAGCCCGGTCCTGTTACGTTCTCCTCATTTCCAATTGAATCCTATTTTAACTTGCTATAATCCGCTGCGTTAAGTTGCGCAATTTTGAAGACTTTAGTCTTGGTCAATCCTGCTTTAATGAATTAAAGTATAGAGGTAAATCCTTAGAATATTTCGAGTTTTTTAAATTGATAACTGCAAGCATAAAAGATGGCTTCAGATTAAACAGTGAAAGCCAAATATAATCAGGGAAGTAATGAGCAGAAGATTTTTCTTCCAGTTTTTTTTTATCTTAATTCGGGCAATCCAATGTATACATTCATTGTCGATATATGCACATTGGTGCACCGAGGCCAGGTTTTAAATGACCAAATGTGGTCCTGACAAGGTTCTACGTTAGGCCTACAAGTTTAAGATATGAAAATATCTTAAACTTTTAAGGTTTAGGATGGGACCTCGATTGAATAGAAGTTATCATTTCTTATATTATCTCAAACCCCATTTAAAAGAGGCCTACATCCAAAGGTCCTGACATCAGTAAGATCAGAATTTCAACTGGAGTTAGCTCCACTGATCCCGGCTTGAAAAAACCGTATTCCGTTGTTTCTTGAAATTTCGATACCAATCTTGGTCTACGTCGCGATGAATGACTTCCAGAAAAATCCAACCCTCTCCGTCTTCTACATTCCATGGTGACCACAATTGTGGATGAAATTTCAGTTTCATTTTCTGGGTGGTTTCGGAGGAACCCCTGAAAAGATTCGGATTAAGTCCCCGTCCTTCCGCGTGCCCTCGGATATCCTTGGACGATGTCGAAGAAAACCGCGTAAACCCTGGGGACTTTTCCAGTCAGCCGTCCGAGTCTAAACCGCAGCCGATGGTGCCCGACCTCCAGGAGCCCCTGAAACTTTCGAGAACCCAGGAAGTCGAGCGAGGTTCCGAGTGCTGATCTCGGGGTGGGTCGGCCTTAGCTGGAAAACGGAAGGGGGGTTGTTGCGTCTGGAAATACTCGGAGCCGTGAACTTAACATCCCGGGGTGGTTCGGTTCATCGGGTTTTGGGTGAGAGACGGGCCAGACAAATGCAAGGACGCCGGGCGGGGTTAAGGAGTCCCTCTTCAGGGTGGGGTACAGGAGGTGGGTACACAGAGGGCGTAATTCGATTCTCGCACTCGGAGGAACGCGGTACAGAGCACCGCGGGTTTGGTTAGCGGCGCACCAGACCAGGTCGAGGCGAGGGGCTCGATAATGCTTTCCCATTAATTTAAGATTACCCCTGGAACGTCTCCCAGCAGTCCATCGGCTCCGACGTCTCCTCGCTCTCTCTCTCTCTGCATTGGGAAAAAATTCACCCAGTCCATGCTATACCGTTAAGGGAACACACAGGTTTTACGCGGTTACATTTTTGTGCTTCACTTCGGTCGACTTACGGATAAGCTAAACGAGCAAGATATCCTTACTTTCGGTATGGCATTACCGCTATTACAAAAATGAAAACAAATGCTTGCTCGTTGGAGATACGAACCGCTGCACGCGGAGCTTTGGAATAGCCATTCCGTGCAATTCTCAACGTAGGGCGATACAGTTGTCGATGTAAATACAAACGTCGCTAACGTCGCGGGCTGTTTCGAATGGTATATCGGCTAGAAGAAATTGTTTCCACCGACGACGGTTTTCGCGGCTCCTTTCGCATCACCTTAAAAAGATATCGCTCGTCGGTCTTCAGCCTTCGAGAGCGACGCTTTACTCGTCGGAGCAAAAGAGATCGCCCGACCAAGATGCTGCGCGACGTAATAAGCCCCAGAGAGGGGCGCATTGTTCTCCGGATGAAAGTCAAGCCTTACATAATACTTTCACGCCTTCCCGATGTGTACCACTTCTCCTCGAACGAAATCAAAAGTACCTTGCCGCGGCTA